AAATACACGAAGAAATGTTCAAGATCATTAGTCATTGTTGTTGTTATTAAGTGCTGTTGAGTCGCTTCTCACCCATAGCGACCCAGTATAGGGCTGCCAAGGAGCTGTTGGTGAGCTTGAATTGCCGATCTTGTGGTTCAAACAACCCACAGTGCCATACCAGGACTCATTAGTCATTAGAAAGATATTAATCAAAACAACCATGAGATATCATATCACCCCAGCATTAATAGCAAAGTTTAAAAAACAGAAAACAACTAATACTGGTGAGGGTATGGAGAAACTGGAACCCTCCAACATTTCTGGTGGAATTATAAAATGGTTCACTGTGGAAAATGGCATGGCACTTTCTCTAAAAGTTGGAAATAGAAATATATGGCTCAACAATCCCTCTACTTGGTATATTTCCACAAGAAATAAAAGCCAGGACATGAATAGGTATATTCATACCTATGTTCATCACAATAGTAAAAAGGTGGATACAGCCTAAATGCCCATTAATGGAAGTATTACTAAACAAACTTTGGTATATACATACAATGGAATACTATGCAATGTTAAGAATAATGATGAATCTGTGAAATACCTCATAACATGCACGAACCTGAAGGACATTATGATGAATGAAATTAGTCATTCACAAAAGGACAAATATTGTATCACACCAGCAATGTAAAAACTCAAGAAAAAGTTATCATGCTAAAAGAAACATTCTGTTATAGTTACCAGGGGTGTGAGGAAAGGGGGAGTAATTTATTGTTGTTGTTGTTAAGTGCTGTCGAATCGATTCCGACTCATAGTGATCCTGTATAGAATTTCTGAGGATTGGCTGGGAACCTGAATCAACGACCTTGTTCAAACCTACTTTTCAGTCCAGTGCATTAACCGTCAGTGCCACACCAGGACTCCATGCATGTCTAGAAGGTAGACATGAATTAACTTGGATGATGGGGAGGGTAATCTACAAGAAAAACGAGGTTGGCAGAAGAATGCTGAAGACAGGTGAAGGCTCAAGGAGGTCTGTAAAAGTTTAAGGTCTGTAAAAGTTTAAGTTACGGGTATACACTATTATATACAGAACACTGGAACAAAAAAGTGTTATTCGGGTAGATACATGGATAGATACACAGGCTGAATGGCTATGGGAGGAAGAGTGGGATTATACCCACAAATATATAACGGTTTGAAAGTGGATATTTGTACATGGGTGGTTTACCTCTGCTGCATATAAACCTATGAATCTGGTGGAGCCTAGAGAGGGCAAAATGATGAAAACTTCTTAAATATTATCAAACATCTTAAAGCAATGGGTTGCTGGGTCTGGGTGCTAAGGACTATAGTGTCAAGGGTCACCAATGTCAATTTGTATAACATAGTCCAGAAAGACAATGGTCTACATCCTACTTTGATGGATAGTATTGGGGATCTTTAAAGCTCATGAGCTTTTATGGTACAATTATTGGTTTTTCCATGTGTGGAAGAAAGAAAAGTGATAGAATTGAAGATTTTTGGAATCAAATAGTCTAATGGACTAATGGAATACGAATCTGAGACTAGAACAACTACTTGGTGCCCAGTTACCAATACCAACTGCTCTGAAAGGGACCATATTAGAAGATGCTGGGTAGAGTTGGAGAAAATGTGGATCAAAACTCAGAATTAAAAAATAAGGACCAAACCTACTCTTGTAAAATAGACATTTGAGTGGGATAGAAAGGGATGTCAGGAAACATGATTATGGAAAGCTTGTAAGCCCATCTTCAACCTATAACTGACTGGAATAGCTAAAAGGGGTTCTAGAACTTGCCCAATGAAATAGGCTTTTTGTGGAGCCTTTGCAGTGTATAAGACCTGAGCCCCGTCCAGAACCTTCTGAGGTGTGACATTCCCACTAGAAAGGACAAGCAGACTATCCTGTAATAGCTAGAGCAACAGAAGATACATCTCCAAAGAAAGGTCATCAGGAAAAACCCAAAACAAAAATGGCAGTATGACTGGCTACTACAAGAATAAGCATGTTATTCACTGGGAAGCCATCAAGGTAAGCAATCAAGTCCCTTCAGGACAACCCCCCTCTAAAACTGAAACTCAAAGGGAACACATGAGCAGGCATGTAAGCTTGCTGGCAACCACATTGGTCTACTGGTGAGTGGAAGAGGGGGAAAGGCAGCAATGAAGAAATGGGCTGAGTTCAACCACGTTCCATAGACTTCCGATGACCTGGAGCTGTGAGAGAGAAGAGGAAGGGCTGGTTGGTCCAAAGTGTGGTGAGACCTGGGGTCTTCTGAGCTGACAGACAAAGACATAGTCATGAAGGGCTAGAGCTGAGAGTGAAGCATCCAACTAATATGAAGTGAGGGGAGATGCACAAGAATACCCAAACTTGCAGATAGTACCCATTTGACCTAGCCTTGATGGCTTAATAATCA